TCTAGAAATGAAATAATAATATAACAAAAAAGGGTGGGTTTGAGAGACATACTAAACAATAAGCTACATGTAATGAATTTGAAGCACATTTATTTAAAAAGTGCCAAGTATATATGGCAAAGATCCAGAGTGAGGCTGCGGATATACAGAAGAAAACTAGGGAAGATAAGCACAACTATCTCACTCTAACTCCAAGAAAACAATGCCACATTTCTTCCCAAACTGTCTCAAAGAGAAAATGCTCCACTGGTTTCTAGAAATATGAAGGAAATCAAATTCTCCCAACCCTTGTAAATCAGTTCCAGGATTTCCTCTAGGCAGTTATGCAGCACGAGGCTTGGAGCCACATTTGGGGAATGGAACTCATCTTTTGAAAAATAATCTTAATTTTTATAGCAAAACAACAATTTTATTCTACTTGGTTGTGAGGCTGCAATACAGCATCTACTAAGTACTAACACGGCTGCCTCTATGTACTTTATTTGTGTGGAGATCTTGAATGATGTGTGGGCAAACTTTACTTTTGCTTCATTTAAGCAATACATGGATATACTAAATTTGTGATAAATACTTTATTATTATCGTAGCTACCGCTTATTGATTACTTACTACATGCCCGTCTAGATGCTAAGAACTTTACACATACTAACTCATTTATTCTTCAGCACAGCTCTGGGAGGCAGGGATTATTATGTTTATTTTACACACAGAGAAAATAACGCTAAGAGAGGATGAGTGACTTTACCCAGGAACACAGCCACTAACTCGCAAGGTGAGGATCTGAAATCAGGTCCTTTTGATATCAAAACCTGTGCTCTATCTGCTCTGCTATGTTTAATATTCTGATTCAGTACATGGCAAATACCAGCTGATGAATACAATCAACTTTCATATCTCTGCTTTTACTTACCACCAAGAGAAGAAAAGCACCTTATAAAGAGTAGCTCTACACATGTATTCTACTATGTCTGAAGACCACTATAACCCAGAAAACTGTGCCTGGTTACAAACTCAATGTCTTAAAAAAGGCCAGAGTCTAACCAAACAAAAGGTGATTAACATAATAAAACATAACAATAAACTTAAGACCAAAGAAATCCAGACTGTGAAGGCTTATTTCAATCGATTTGGAAGATTTCATTTACTACAATCCATGGGATCACAAGTATTTGCTTTTGCTAAACAAACAACATAAAAAGGAAAGAGTTCACTGCTCAAAGAAAAAGCAGGAAAGGTTATCCTAACATCCTAATTCAGCTTATTTTATTTTCCCTAC